TAGTCTTTCCTACTCCAGGTTTGCCGATGATGAGGATGCTCTTGTCCTGCCATCTCCGGAGCTCCTCAGGTGACAGCGCTTGTTCCTCGGTAGGAATGTAAACTCTCAGCTTCTTGGGCCGTAGCTTTTTGCATTTTTTGTTTTTCAATTTTATTTTGCATTGAGGAGTTTTTACCGCAGAGTCGGTCTCTAAAACAAGAGGTATAAAACCTAAGTTTCTTTGTACCTTGTCATCCAGATGTTTACAGAAACATTTCCTTTGGTTCTTCAAGATACTTATTGCTTTCGTCTTGAGCTGTGTCTGGTAGTTTTTACAGGGCTTTGTACCTAAAATAGCAACAAATGCATAAAAAAATATTGAAATAGTTTAAATGTGTTAATTTTAGGGATGCACCGATACCACTTTTTCCAGTACTCGCCCGATACCGATACTTTTATTTTTGGTACTTGCCGATACCGAGTACCGATACCGATATTTTTATTGCATTTGTAAATTTTTTAAATATTGGGTACAGAAACCAAAAGGGTATGTATAATGTTAGTTGGTTAACTTCATTTATCAAATAGATACAGTCAAACCAAAATTTATTCAGACACCTTCAACATTTCTCACATTATCACAGTTTATTCGCTATAGTTTAGAAAATGGTAATAAAATATGACAAGAACTCAGAGTTACACTGTGTCAGAACAAATTCAGCTTGATAATGTCAGATAACTTTGATAGAAAGGTATGTAATAGATTACAATCAACCAAAAATAATTCAGACAGCTGTTAGTATGACAGTATTTACACAACTATGAATACTTTGTCGGGCAACCCTTAGCCTCAATGACAGCCTGTAGTCTCCTGGGCATGCTGTCACCCAGCTTCATGAAAACCTCAACTTCAGTTTTTTTCACATAAAAATTATATATGTATATTCATAACAGAAGCAGGTGTTTCCCACAGACTTGCACTCTGTCTCTCTCTCTCTCGCTCTCCCTACCGTTAGGTAACTTGTGCATTGTTTTACTTACTTGTTTTTGACTTTCCAGTGATGTCTGTGAGAAAGGTATATTCACTCGACAAGCTCGCGCATCTGCGCCGCCGCGCGCTCAATCCACTCAGCGTGCTTTGTTAATCAGCTTGCGCACATCAGCTATACAGGCGTTAATACTGAATGTTTAACATTATATTCATTGCATACATATACTTCGTAGTAGACATCCTTAACTCCATTCTGCTGTCTGTTGTTCTGTTGTCGGTGTTTCTTTGTCTGAATATGGCGTTTATCACATGCTGTGTGGTATCGGCGTTTGGTATCGGGGCATTTTAACGAGTACGAGTACGAGTACAGAAGACCAGTATCGGTATCGGTGCATCCCTAGTTAATTTCACCAAAATGATCTTTTATTTCTCTACTCACCAATTGAATAGCTGGCCTCTGCGTCTTCTTCTTTGAAGGGAAAATAGCTGATCCAGGGGTGTAAACCAGGATCTAATGTCCTCTTCTTAGTGACATCCAGAATCTTGAGTAATTTATAACTGGCCTCATCACCTTTGTTAATAACCCAATCCAATATACTTCTGGCTTTCTCAAACTCGGAGCTCTCGGCTTTGAGAGCATCGACCTCATAGACATTGAAAACATTCTGCTGATGAAGATTCTCAATGATCAGAGGAAGGTTTTTCATGCCAGTCACCAGGTCTTTCCTGGTGTTTCTGAGGTACTCTTTAGCAGATCGCTGTGCAGACGCCATGCTGCAGGAATTTCAAACCTGAAGGAAAAGACATATGTTTAAGCACATTCACATCATGCATTTAAATGATATTTATTATTTCACACTTTAATATTTTACACTATTTTCAGATGGGAACAAAAGAGTCACTAGCCTAAATCCATCATACAGAGGTAGGTATACAAAATAAACATTATGAATATAAATAAAGCTGCATAGTCTGCCCTGGTGGTGGTGTTGGGTGTGGAATAGAAACCATCAAAGTGTTTGTAATGGTTTTACTGGTTATAATGGGAATCATCTTGGTTTTAATAGAAACTGTAATGGTCACTGTAGGTCTCTACTGGTAATCGTTAACCTTTTATTGGTGGCTTGTTAAAAATTATGGAGGACCAAACCTGCAGAAATTAAAAATAAATAAATAAATATATAACAGGAAAACAAATAAATAAATAATAAAAACAAATATAGTTCATTTGAAATAAAACGTAATCCTGAATGTAGCACCCTCTTCCCTCTCAGGGTGGCTTACCT